GCTTGTATGGCATGTACGTATGGGTAACAAAGGATGTCTGCTTGGCTTTGTGTCCAGCAAATGTTAATTATTAATTTCTCTTAAATTTGTATTTTTTTTTCTTAAGAGATAAAATGTAGAAAGGTTGAAAGTCAATAATGCAGCAACCCGGTATGAGAGCACAGTTTAACTGCTTCTGCATTGCTGCAGCTCAGAAAAAAAAAAAAAAACTGCAATCCCCTTCAGTGTTTGCAGCAGTGCAGTGGAGCATCGGTGCTTTTTCTGCAGACTGCAGCAAACCCAACATCTGCATTACGGTCAGAATAGCATGAGCAGAAAACACGCTTTAAATGCATACAATTATTCTTGATCAAGGTTGGGCGTGTTTATAAAAAATAAAAATGTGTGTGTCCCTTTTACCTGATGCGCACCTGGTTCATCTCCACTCCACTCATTAACTCTGCTTTGTTTTCATTATTTCAGGTCTCTTGGTAGTTTAAGAGGTTTACTCAACATTAGTCTGTCATAATTACAAAATACAAGTGTCATAAAAAAGAATTAGATGAATTTCTGTTTGTGTACATTTTATTCCTCCTTTTTTACAATAATTCTATTTGACATTAGTTAATTAAGAAGCAGTGGCAGAAAAAAAAGAAAAAATAACTTAATTTGTTGCCATCCAGAAAAAAGAGCTTCTGATGCAAACTTTACTTGGTGACAGCTAAACATGCATTTGCAACTAAAATAAATTTAAAAAAGCAAAACAAAATAAATAAATTTAAGCTGTGCCATTTGAGCTAAATTTCTTTACTCAGTTAAAACTAAACAAACAATAAATAAATAAAAGAAAAAAAGATATATCTAAACTGGTGCAGTGTTTGATGAGCCACGGCATGCTGGGCGGATGTGTTCAGTCACAAGATGGCAGCAGAAGATCATGAAACTTCAGCTCAGAGTCTGATCCAGCTGTAAGCGTTGTCAGGTGTTCTCTGCAGTGTAAATTTCTCTTTCCTTTTTCCACCCTCGATGGCTGTGATCCCAGGGCTTCTCATTGCGAAGAATTTCTGCGGCAGTATACTTGCTGATTGCTTCGTTCTCACTCCTCACAACAACCAGCTAAGACACTGCCAGAGAAACACCCACAGCAGCCGCGTCCACCTGCTTCTTCTCAGCCGGATCCTGGCTGCTCTTTGGGGCAGGTTTTGACCCTGTGAGTCTGGTACCGTGTACATCTTTCTTCTGCTTCCAAGACTTTTTTCGGTGGGATGCTTCGGAAACTGCTGGACAACCTGCAGAAAAAGTCAAGAAGTGGGAGAAAATAAAAATCACTGACTGTCAATTGTTTCAAATAAAACAATTAGACTTCCACGCAAACAGAAAGATAAATCTGTAAAGATAAATACTTTAAAGAGTCAGCACTGCTGAGGAACTCGCAGCTTGTTTCCTCTCAAATTTTTGATCATCTTTAAATATTTTGCGCAGCGTCGCTTCAAGTTCACATAACTTGGACAAACACAAACACCTCCAAACTAAGAATAGATCCACCATGACTCAGGATTCTGCAACAAATGCTTGGTTCGATTTAACTCTCGTCTTCTTGTGTGTGTGTTTATCCATCTGTTCACTTGAGTACTATAACGCCCTGGTGTGTGTATCGTACCTGTTAGACAACAACTAAACCCCTCTCTGCTATCAGATGTGTACTCTCGCTGCAGTGCTATTTTAGGCAGACCATCCACCGTCATGTCGATGTTGACTCTGCCTTACAGGACAACGAGGATATCAGAGACCAGCATGCAGCTGCTGGCGTACGAAGGGACTTTTCAAGGAGGAAGTCTTTACGTTAGGACTCGGCAGCAAGGCTGTTTGTTATCCTCCGTGTCTGCTTTTGTTGTGTGGCTTGAAATTTGTGCTTTAAATCTGATGAGTAATCTGATGTAAGAAAAATCTAGATACTTGGGTAAAAGCAATGTGTCTGCCTCAAACGCAAAGAAATGCTGAATATGTTTGCTGAGGCTAGTTTTCTTTGTGTTTGCCAGCTTCTGTCAGACGCACACAGATACAACAGATGTCCACAGACGAATACAGAAGCTCCTCTCGACCTGCGTTCGGTTGCCAAAACAGCTGCATCTGTGTCCCTTTGTGTCTTTGTATCGAGCTAGATGCCGCCTTCACTGAGCACATGATGACAGGAATTCCTTCCTGTCCGGCCTTGATGTAATCCGGACTACAGGACCGAGGCTTGCCAATGAAAACACAACCCCTCTCGCAGAATAAACCGTTCCACACAGCCTTCTGCAGCAGGAGCAGCACACAGGTTCAACTCATTTATCTCTCACAGGATACGTCTCAGTCTGCACAAAACAAACAAACAAAAAAATGTAATATTACACACCTATGAGTGGTTTCTAAAAGACTAACTCCTTAAAATTCCTTTTTTTTTGTTGACAAACTCAGTTTATTGTGATGGAAAAGAAGAATTTAGAATAAAAAAATGTATTAATCTGGATTTATTAAAAATGTTGACAACAATTAATAGCTCATCAAAATACGCAGGTATATGAATTAAGATGGCTGATTGGTGTCGGAGGAGGCTGAAACAAATATGAATATAAGCTTGACAACTATATAGATAAAAAAACAACAGTTTTTGGTTTATTATTATTAAAAATGAACTTATTTAATTGATATGCATTTTGTTCAGTTCCAAAATAATGTTTACTCTTACAAAGTTTCAAATTATATGACAAGTGGAAACCCCCCTCAAAATGTTTAATGTTTTGTCTTGAATTACAACTGCTTATATAAATAAGTGGAAGATAAAAGTCATAAATTTGTATTAAAATTCTCTGTGATTTAATTAAACAACTGACTGCTTCACTCTTAAGATAAAAGACAATTCTTTTACGTTTTATTTTATTAAATGGAGTAATGTTCTGACATATTACCATACCTTTAAATGTAAATAACCCTTTTTGCTGTTGTGAAATATACCAATTAATTTAAATGTGCTCAATTAGGCTATTAAAAATGTAAAATTTTAAATTTGTTCCAAGTGCAATAAAATTTAGTGTGAGAAAAAAATAATTTTATAATGCCCTGAGTAACTTTGGTATCATTCATCTTTTTCATCAACTTCATCAAGGAGTTAAATCTATGCCGAGCACTAGTGCAAGAGAGGCAGCATAAAACCATATCATTAAGTCAGATTTGTTCAAACTTAATATTTTAGTTTAAATCTTTTACTATCAGGAATCTAAAGGAACAGAGTGCAAAGAGATGATTCATCTCCTCAATGAACAGAAACATTTGTCTCTTTTTCTCTGCTGTTCAGAGTTCTTAAATAAAATTAAATGCTGCAAAGAAAATAAAAGTTTTGGATTGTAACGTTTCCAATGTTCTGTGGAACAATAAGCATGTTGTGCTTCGTGTTTGGTTAAGTTTAAGTTTCAATCACAGTGTTGCTCTGCTGTTACAACTGCATCATGTGCACCGTCGGTGACACATTAAACAGGCAATGATCCATAGCAGCACAGTAAACACACACGCACCTTCAAAGTTTCAGCTCACCTATACCTGAGCACACCGCTGCCGTCTGGCTTCAAAATACACAAACTATGAAACACAAACACTCCGCTACTCATCTGCAACCCAAACTGTGTGTTTCTGTCGGCTTCTTCTCTTTGCTTTCCTCTGTCAGCTAACAACGCTCCAACAAGTCCCAGTCCTCCCACCCAATCATCTTATGACTAACAATGCAACATATTTACTGTACAGCTGTGCGTGTAAACAGGGTCCTGAATGATCTCTTTAGATGAAGGCATTTCATTTTGTTTAATCTCGATGAAACTTTGTTTTTGAGCTACATCAAATTATATAACATATGTCCAAATGTAGATTTTTTTTTCCATATTGCACACTACTTTGGTTACCAGAAAACACAGTCACTGCAGCAACTGTCAGCTGGCTTCACTGCACACAAGTGAAACACGCATGTCATAATGAACTGGGCATTAAATAATTATCATCTGAGTCACTGAGTTATTAGTGTGTTTCAGTTCTCACAACCCGATGAAATGAAACGCCTTGCTCTGTTGTATCTGCTTTGTGTAAACTTACTGTTTCGACACTGATGGCACTTCTGTTTTGAAGCAGGGGGCAGTTTGGACCCACTTTTGTGCCGTTAGTTTTAAACATTTTCTGTCAGCTTCATATTGGCTGTAAGTAAGGAGGGCCTCTTTCTGTCCTTAGTTTGAGGTTTGACTTCTCATCTGCAGAATGAACAGATGAGGAGAAAATCAGGAAAACGTTTGTCCCTCAGTGGATTAAACTGTGGAGGGACAGTAAAAAAAAGGGTCACTCGTCTCAGTCTCATTGCAATTTGTTTCACTGTCCTTTGCATTCAATAACCTTTTCTCTAGTTACCATGGTATCATGTTAGCATCAAGACTCGGCTCAGATGTTTTCACACCGCTGACAGATGTATGCGTCACATTAATAAGCTCTAACTTATATTTAAGACAACGGAAAACCCTAACACGACTTTTTGATTTCCTCCCACTATAAAACTCTAAAATGCAGAGGTGAACTTTTTACAGTACCAGCAAAAAGTGGAACTATAAGAGTTGTAACATAAAAAGTCAGATTAATTTATTTACTTATAGTTTTGATACTCACCAGCTAAGTTCCTTCATCCAGTCTCACCTCCAGCGCTGAAGTCTGCGGCCGTCTGAACATCACGGTGAACGACCACCAGCCTCTGGTCTGAGACTCTCCTCTCTCTGTGTGTTTCTCTCAGCCAGCGCGACAAGTCAAGGCATGTTCCAACGTCCCACCGACAGCTGAACCGGGCGCATGAGCCTRGACCAGAGAGGGAGGAGCAGAGGATCAGAGAAGGGGGAAGCCCACAAAGCACCCAGCATGACTCAGCCGGCCTCAGTGAGTTTGCAGAGCTTTCACTTTAAAGGCTTTACCACATGATGAAGTCGCTGTTTGAATCGAAGCAGGACCATGGCAACTGAACAAAAGATCGGACCGGCTTATTGGATTATATTTATGAAACAAGAAGTCCAGTTTTTATGAAGGAAGTGACAACTTTTTACTCTCTGAGGAAGAAAATATTTAAAATTCTTCTTTTTTTTTTTACTTCTGTCAGAATCTTATCATTAATTAGTAGTTCACACTCAGTATTTACTGTTCACTCACGCTTATTTGCAAATAGCTCTACTTAACCTTTCACACCGCAGAATAACAGCATAAAGAAGCTGTAAGTGGACACCAGCAGAGCATGCCGATGAAAGCTGCTGAATCATCAAATCATCTTACACAGCAACCCTCTGTAGGTCACATCAATTACAGATGAGGCCCATCAGTATGAATTATAGAACTAAAAATCACAAGAAAACGCATCGGCCACGAATTTCCCTGTGAAATATCGATGTTTTCTGGAAGCAGTGACATTTGAAGTTGAATGCGAATTTAAAAGTAATTAATGCAGGGAACAAGGAACCTCGTATCGGATCAAAGAGGTGTACTTGGGTACAAACGTGCACTGCGAGCCGTTTGGCTGCTGGCATAAAACGGCATTAAATGTGCAGGATCATCAGTATCTGTGAGTGCTAATTATTTCAAGTTGCTCTGATGTTTGCTGTTTTAAACTAGAGGAGGGGGTGATGCCAGTTCATCACTGCTGTTAGAGGAAGTTGATCACTAGGCAGATTCTGGCTCCAGCAGCAGGAGCCAGCTCAGCAAAACTCACCTGCTACAATATGGTCTGAGTTAGGCTGCCTGAGCCATCTCTAAAGTACTGTACTGTACATCACCGCCGCTGCTGTCCACCGCAGCCTGTCAACACACTGACGGCCTTATCAATAAAAGAACAAAGTCACTGTGATGTTACACTCTGAGATCTCAATACGCTTAAAGTTCTGCTTTGGCCCCGTCGTCTCCGTATGACTGCAGGCGGCTAGAGATCAGCTGTAAAACAGAAGAGGGGCTGCAGATAGTTGGACAGATAAATTATTGACAGTGGATATGTGGCACCGCACAGTCTTGATGAGTTATCAGCAGCAGTTTCAGCTGAGTTGGTTCTAAATGTCTGCATGCATGCATGAACTACCTGTTTATACACGAGTGAAATATGGACAGCTTCTCAGAGGAGGGTTTTTTGTGATTCAAAGGCTTAATATTCACATAAAAACTAATTTAATAGTATTTACCCAGGATGTAAACTGCACTGAGGCCTCAGATTTAGATCTATGTCAGTCAGAGTGGGAGAGAGGGGTGTGTGGGGGGCGAAGGAACCCCTAGCCCAGCAAGTTCAAAGCTTGCTGCATTGATTACATCATCAGAACTGGAGTGCTGGAATGGGACAATGCACCATTGGGGGGTGAGGAAGGAAGTGAGTGGGGGGGGGGGGTGCAATCGTCCGTTTCTTTCTCTTCTGTCTGTAAACTCTGTTCAGTCCACTGCAGAGTGAGACGGCCTGTTCTGCTTCAACACCACTGTGTCACGTGAACAAAGACTGTGAGGAGAGACTGATACAGTTTAAATGCATCTCTGCATTCCTGTGGGTTTGCATCTCTATCTGTGTGTGTGTGTGTGTGTGTGTTCATGTGCATGTGTGGTGCCAGAGGCTGGCACTGCAGGAACACAACTGCTGCAGGACACTGCAGGATTCTCACTGGCTCTTGCTTCCCCCCTCTCTCTCTCTGTTCACTCAAGCAAATTGCAAAAGGAGGATGGTGAGAGCATGTGCTGCATACTTTTTTTTTGCCAGTGGAGGGGGAGGGAGGGAAGAGTCACAGAGGTGCAAAGCATGCAGGTGAGAAGCTGTGCTGGCCAGCTGCATCTGTGAGTGAGAGTACAGTAGAGAAATTAGAGACAAAAAGAGGAGGAGGGGAAAAAAAGAGGAGGCGATGTGGGAGGTGGAGGAGGGCAGAAGTGAGGTGCAAGAAGGAAACGTCAGGTGAGTGCGGCAGTTTCTTTTTGCCGGCAGTGCAGCAGCTTCCTCCTGGCAGGTGTGCGGGAGAACTGCAGATGTTCATGGTTAATGTGAGGCTCTGAACGTTCCTCTAACACAACCTGCCATCCTTACTGCACCAACCCGTCTGCTACAGAGACAAATCCGTAGACGAAAGAGATGCTCTGGACTTGAGACTTACAGAGAAACATCATGAAACACAGTGTCTGCTTTTTTAAAAGTCTTAGCTCAGTTACCTGAGATGAACTCACAGCTGACCCGGGGCGTGCGGTCGGCCTGACTGAACTTGTTCTCCAGACCTTGTAGACTGGTTTAGTGCATTCTCTTAACATGTTAAAAGGCTTCTGAAGTTTAAACTATTTTTTACATTATTGTGAAAAGAGCTGGAGTTCAGCACAGACACTGCAATAAGTCGAAGGTAGCAATAAATAAATCTTGTACAATTTTCTGCTGCAGTCTCCCTGAGCATAGGTTGAGTTCTGCTTCAGTTCTATTTTTAAATGAGAACCCGTTTCTAAACACGTGAAAACAGCTCCGTTTACTTTATTGATTGTCAAGCTGAATGTGATAAAAAAAGAATTAGGGAAAAAATCTAACAGACCTGTACTCTGTCCGTGCATCCTGTAATAGGATGGTAGAGAAGTCCTCATAGCTACAGCACAAGTTTATGACTGCAGCACAGCTCCCCCTGTCCCATTCAGGACATTGTGGCCTTATTCTCATCACTCAGAGACACTGACGGTCCAGGACGCTGTTACAGTACGTCCTTTTCACAAAATTCATTCATTCACAATCAACTCCTTCTGTTAAATGTAAACTGACAGCTAACAGGGAAAAGTTGAGGAATGGGAGAGTCTGTACTCTAAAAACAGAGAAGTTTTTACCTCCTGGTAAGTTTTTTTTTAACTCCTGCCCTTGAGACAAATGGTGACTCCTCTCATCCAGCCGCTATCTGACACGCCGGCTGCTATTTCCATCCTGTACTATGTGTTAAACATGGATGAGAGAGCAGTGGAGCCTGACTGCTAGCTGACTTGCTCTGCCTGGTTGTTACTGATGCAGAGGACTCTGAAACTGAGGAGACAGAAGCAGCCTGGAGCTTCAGCACTGCAGGCATGCACACCGACACACTCGTATTTTAAAAGTATATCACCTTTAACGGAGAACAATGCACGTAATGAGACAACATGCGAAGGCAAGACTACAGAAGAACAAAACGTTTACCTACAGAGGAGTCTGGCATCGAGCAGGAGGACGAGAGGATGGAAACTTCTCTTCACTCACTGTGAGCCCCTCTCGGTCAGTGGTGATGTGCTTTCATGGCGCGGCAAAGTTGACTGCAGCATTGCCTCCTGAACAGAATGACATTGTTTGCACTCTCTCTCTCTCTCCCTCACTCCTCCTCCTTCTCCTCCTCCTCCGGTACACGCTTGTTTCCCCCTCCTCTTCTTTGCACTCTCACTGGCAGCATAAACTGCACAGCTCAGCAGTGTTCCCCCACTGCCGCAGCAGATCCTGCATGAGCTCTGCGTATCTGAGAGGGATGGGACTTTTAAAGGGGAACGCAACCTCCAGGGTCAGTGTGTGTGTGTGTGTGTGTGTGTGTGTGTGTGTGTGTGTGTGTGTGTGTGTGCGCGCGCGCGCGTGCACATCCTCAGTCCACCCTCTTCTCCTCCTCAGCAGCCCTCTTCTTTTCTCCTCCTCCCTACACTGAGAATCAGAGCAAAGCACCTCCTCTATGCAAACATAACTCACCATCCCTCTTTGTAATTTCTTACACCACAACGAAAGCAGCTTTAAAATACGGTGCTGATCAAACTTCAAGTGAAGCTGTTCCTGAGTGATTAGAAAATCAAATCAGCAGCTAAAATATCTTAAATTTCTTTAAAACATTTTTAGATGAATGCATGTTCTCGAGCATGAGTTGCAAAAATGTTAGGAAATTAGAAAGTGACATTTCCCAACGAAAATGGAGAAATCTATAATTTGTTTGATTACAAAATAAAAGGATTGAAAAAAGCTTAATCAATAAAGAATTAATATTTTGCTACAGTACATAAAATGAAATACATTTATTGCACACATCTGTCAGCAGATAAACGAGGAACAACCACGTCAAGCCTGTCTACAAACAACCATCTCGAAGTCTTACAGGCCTCTGAGGAACAGTACAAAATTCCCCTCAGTGAAACAAAATGTCCTTAATCTGCAATCTCAGTTGCCTACCTTTCATTACCCATGATGCACTGCTCTACTAGCGCTGTTCTGCAGTGCGCTAAAATATAGAGAAATCTTGACCAATCGAATTTGTCTTTTATGCGTTGCACAACTGTGCGAGTGAAATCATCCATCATGTAGTCAGCCATTGAGGTTCAACTTCTAGTCCTACAAGGTCCTTTTTTCAAAGACTTGCTCGTGGTGTTGAGAGGCCTGTTTTATTTATTTATTTATTTTTTCCAGGGATGACATCAGAGCATTGTGTAGACAATGGTGTCTTTATTAGAAAGCTTCGGTCTTTTAGGCGTCAATATTTTGGGCTATTTCCTGCAGCAGTGCAGTGTTCTCTGCTTCTCTCTGCAGGAGCTTTTCTTTCCCACAATTTTGTTGTGTCTTGGACTCAGTTGAGAGCTATGAGCCTCTGTTTTTTTAATGAATAAAAACCTCATGCATCTCGCATCAACCCTGACTTCATCAGGTCAAGGTCTATGCTCACCTTAGTCAAGCTCATTAGTGTTTGTATATTATATAAATGCTTTCACAACCCAATTTGCTCACAGCTTCGCCCTGACGAGATGCATCCCTGCTGGTGCAGATTGCTGAATCAGCAAAAATTCACATAATGCACTATTGAGAATCAGCTACACGAGGCTGTCCATATAAATCATCAGTGTTTATGATGCAAACACTGATATCCATCAGCTGAGAGCAAAGCACCTTTCCCTGCGTTCAGGATCTGCTGCTGCTGCTGCACCAGTTTGCCGAGTCTCGCAGCTTCTGCCCTCTCTGCACCGTGTGACACCAGGGAAAATGCCCCCGCCAGCATATCCCTCACAGAGCTCGCACCATTCTCAGTAATGACATCCCTCGTGATGAATAAGCCATGAGAAGGAGCCCTTTTACACGTCCTATTAGATTACCTAGTGTTTTACCTGGTTACTGTCACTTCGTCGCCTTTGGTTCTCTTCTTGACTCGATATTTCTGCTCGTTAGGTTTATAAATATGAGTTAGAGCTGTTCGGTGTACAAAAACCACTCCGTTAATGATCAGAATTCTAATTTTGTGAGAAGTGCAGCATTTTTAATTTTGATACAAACTTTTTAAATCAAATAGGTGACGTTATTTTGACACGTGCTGCTGCGGCTTGAACTGTAACTTAAAGTGCGTTGATCTGAAGGAGTAAAGATTATCTGTAAGGTCTGGACTGTCTTGGCACATGCAGTTAATAGAGTTAAGCGTTATCATGGGCTGCTGAGTTAGTGTGTGTCTTTTTTTTCCTCTCCCCTCTTCCTTTCTTTTTGTGATTCGCAGCTCATTCCTCAGCTGCATTGATCTGTTGGGAAAAGATAATAGTGAGATTGATTCACGGCCTCAGCAGCTTGCTTGGTTTACTCATCAGTTCAGTCTGGTTCTCAGTAGTCCTCAGTCAACATGAGAATTGTCTTGACTGCTGATCGACTTCTGGCTCTTTGAAATAAAAAAAAAAAAGGTTCCGGAATTGTTTTTTCTTCTTCTTTTGTCTGAGTATAACAAATTTTCAAATGTTAAAACATGATTTCTATGAATATTCTAAAGGAAATTAAAGTTAAAACATAGAACTAAAAAAAATGAAATCTTGCAACAAATGCCCGTAACGTTTAAAAAAAAATTATTGTGATCATTACCGTTTAACACTGACATCCAAATTTACTCACACCTTTTGCAAAATGAGACTAGCCCGTAATAAATTAGCTTCACGAAAACGTAGGGATGGACTGAACGACGAGATCCTGACTTTGCAGAGGAAGTTGTGTACTATAGTGTGTTTCACTGCACCAGTGCTTCTGTGCTGACCTGGTTTTGTAAAGCTGAACAGATTTCACTCAAGACCAAGGGGAGTTAAAAAGACAAAACTAATCAAACGTGGACGCACAGGAAGGATTGTAGAAACTCATTTCGAGCCAAGGCGTCTTTTTATTCCAGCAGCATGTAAATACAGTTTCTGTTCTATTAAACATATAGGATCTTGATGTGAAGACAGCGCTCGGTACATCATCGGCTTCCCCTTCAGAGAGAGATAACTGGTTTATGATGAACAGCGGCTGAGCGGCTGACAGCTGGCTTCTGTGTTGTAGTGAATGAGCAGCAGTTCTGTCTGCGTCAGCAGCAGCCGGCCCGTCTCTACAGCAGAGCCTACGCTCAGATCAGCTGAAACTGAGCGAGACTGCAGTGGGGCAGCCTGGAAGCCCAGACCACTGAGCTACAAGCATCACTATGAAATGTTTACATTTAAATGACAAAGAATCGACAAAATTTGTACTTTTTTTCCTGGACTTTCTTCAACATTTTGAGATAAGTTAAAAATGTATTCAAAGTCATTTTTAAACATTTTGTTTTGGTGGAGATTTTGTGCTGAGATAATTTTATTTATTATTATTGTTGTTGTTGTTGTTGTTGTTGTTGTTGTTGTTGTTGT